TAAAACTAAGTAGTCAGTAGATTCTTTGGATTAGTAACTTATCAGAAAGTCATAAACAATTCTTTGTCCTCTAGAAAAAGGGATAAAGTTGGTGCAAGAAGGGCAGTATGCACAAGCAGTCGTTTTGTTTACAGAAGCCATCAAATGTGACCCAAATGATTACAGGTACGTCTTCTGCGATCAGGACTAGTTTATTATCAAAAACTATACACGTGTTATCTATCCCCTTAGAATTAAATTTTCTCCCTGCAGGTTTTTTGGAAATCGTTCTTATTGCTTCTACTGCTTGGAACAGTACCCAAAAGCCTTGGCAGACGCTGAAAACTCCATTCAGTTGTCTCCAGATTGGCCCAAAGGACACTTCCGCAAAGGCAGCGCTCTCATGGGCATGAAGGTGGACAACAACTACCATCATCCTAAATATTTATTAAGACAAATGTCTGCTGAAGGTTTTGATCCGTGTCTTTTAATTAGCTGTTGCTCAGAATTAATGTGAATGTGTTGTAGCGGTACAGTGAAGCAGAAAAGGCTATGGAGCAGGTGTTGAAACTGGACAAAGATTGCGAGGAAGCTGCCAATGACCTCTACAACTGCAAAGTTCTTCAGCTCATGGTAAAAGCACCTGGTTTTGTTGGATTCATTGGCTGGAGCTTGAATTTACAAGACCTTCCTTCTTGCTTCTTGTCATAGGCAATCTTTTTTTTTCTTTCCTCAGGAGCTTGGTTTTGAAGAATTACAAAGTGTACTTCTACTGGAGAGATTTCCAACTGTGCAGGCTGTTCTGGCTTCTTGTTCCGATGCAGCAAAAGGTTAAGCCTCCATATGAACACGCTCTAAAACCTGCTGTCATTTTTTATGTTTAACATTAATCTGTGGTGATGCGTAGAAAAAAATCAATCTGCTGATGTCATTYAGCTACATTTCTATCTGTTTTTGTGATGACGTGCTTTTTGTGTTTTTGCAGCCGGGGGTCAAGATCCATCAATTGCGCAACCAGGGTAGGTGACCGTGTGTTTGTTTGATCAAACCTTAGGGTCAGGAGGATTTTGTACAATAGATTTGTGCCACAAGTTGCTTCTTTTTATATCATGTGCTGGACTGTGATTATGCAGGTCTCAGTTTTATTATTTCTTCTTCTTGTTTTTTCAGAAGCCCTTGTCCATCTCTTTGGGTGGGAAATGTAACAACTGAGATAACAGAGAAACACTTGTGGGACCTTTTCAAAATGTATGACCTCAATGTGTTAAAACGTTTGATATAATAAAAATACCGAGTTGATATCAGTCTATTTAAACACATCAGAAACGGAACTTATTATTTAGTCAAGGTAGCCATTGATCTGGCTTTGTCTTGCTGTGAATTGTAGGCATGGTGAGATAGAGAGCATTCGTGTTCTGCACGAGAGATTCTGTGCCTTTGTCAACTTTAAGAATGCAAACATGGCAGCCCGTGCCATGGAGAAACTAAATGTGAGTTCCTATATTTCTTTGTAGCCCTATGTTTTTTTATATACATAGTTAGATCTACATGTTTTTGTGCGCTTACAGAATCACTGTATTGAGAACACGCGTTTAGTTGTGCGCTACCCTGACCGTCGCCCTCAGAAGATCCTTCCTGTTCCACTTAAAACCTTTCTCCCTGTCACACAGCAGGCAGGGGCAGCTGCTAGGTAAGAATCTGAAGATGACGTGTGTGTTATCTACTGCAATTTGTGGCAGATTATGCTGTGTTCACACCGAACGCATTTTGAGCGTCAGGTTTAYATGCAAAGTCTATGGTGGACGAGAGGCGTCGAGAAGTGCTGCAGCACGTTTTGAGCATCCAAAGCATCAGCCTCTAGAGTTGGAAAGTCTGAGCTTTTGCAGCTCCATGCAGAGCATCAACCAATCAGAGAGACTCTGCTCTGTGACGTAGCGGTGCATTTTCTGATGGGACGGTCTTCTGAATGATGCCCACTAACCTGAGACCGATGGACAGGAGCTCTTCAGCTGAAATCGAGTGCCCGTAGTTGGTGTCCTAGCAGGAAATGCAGGTCAGAAAATAAAGCCTTGTATAACGAGCTGCTGGGCTGAAAGCGAGCCTCGTCAGCACGCAGCTTCTGGAGTGGTGAAACTCACCAAACTCAGAACTCCTCTGGATTATTTATTAATAATTATAGTCCCACACTTAATCTACTGTATTAATGTTTGGGGAGAAGCATGCAAAACGGTTACAAATTCCGTTTTTGTTTTACAGAAAAGAGCAGTAAGGATTATTACCAGAAAGAATTACAGACACCCAACAAATTCATTATTCCATCAGTTGAAGTTATTGGAGTTCTATGATTTGGTTGATTATAATATTTTGTCACTTATGTATTGGTCTCATAAAAACACCTTACCTTCAAACATCCAATTACATTTTACTAAAATAGAAAATTGTTATAATCTCAAAGGGATGGAAATGTTTGTTAAACGTAAGTTTAGAACCAGTTTGAAGGAACAGAGTACTTCAGTCCAGGGTGTAAGATTGTGGTGGATGAAGTTAAAAATGCCAGATCTGTATGTATTTTTAAGAGAATGTTAAAGGTAAATTTGTTACAGAAATATGCAACAATATAACGGATGATTTGTGTTCAAGATGGAGTCAAACCTTTATTGTTTTTTTCTTTTCAGGTTTTTTCTTTTT